ACCCGCTAAGGGGCGGGAACAGCGATGCAGCCACGGCCTCCAGGTCATCCACCGAGTGAGAACCACTCGGAAAGGCTCCACTGAGCTTCCTCAGAGGCTCCAAGTCTCGGGGCGCAGGCCGGCTCTCTGTTTCTGGGGGGACAGCGCTCGTGGCCTCCCTCCCGCAGGGGACGCCGCGTCCCCCCAGGAGGGCTGTGCGGATCTCCCGGCCCGGCTCTGAGAGACCGTCGACGGGTCTACCGGCCTCCAGCCTCCCGACAGCCGCTCTCCCTTGGCTCCCGCCTGTCACTGTGTAGGAATCCGTGAGCGCTGGGTGGAGGAGGGTGGGCCCAGGCAGTCACCGCGTGGAGGAGGGTGGGCCCAGGCAGTCACCGCGTGGGACCCCGAGCGCCAGGAATCCGTGCTCACCGGGCAGCTCAGATAAGGTGAGTCCATCTAAGATCATGCTCCACACGGCTTCCCTGACGCCTCAGAACAGCTCCCCGTGCACAGCCAGGTGCGTGAGGCTGCGTGTGCACGTGTGTTCTGTGACCTGCGGTCCCCACGGGCACCCTCCCCTCCCGGGGCTTGGAGTGTCGGCCGTCCCCGGCCGGGCGGGAAGCCTCTCTCCTCCCATCCTCAGCCACGTGCCTCCACATCCATCCCAGTTCTAGAAGGTTCCCACACTCCTCCCGGAGCACCCCACGCTGCACAGCAGAGCCGCATTTCCCTGCTGGGGAAAACGCACAGAAAGCAGACCGAGCACACTTTCTTCACGAAACTCACCCTGGACTGGGTCCTATGAGCGTCCGCCCGAGACCCAGCACTCGAGTCAAAGTCCACTCAAGGACAGCACAACGCAGTGCCCGGAGGCCGGCCACACCTGCTGGGCAGAGGGGGGCCCAGGGCTGCCCACGCTCCCCCACCCTGCAGCCCGGGCCCAGAGACGTCACCTCCCAAGATGTCACCTCCAAAGACGTCACACCCCAAACACGTCACCTCCAAAGACGTCACCTCCAAAGACATCACCTCCAAAGACGTCACCTCCAAAGACATCACCTCCAAAGACGTCACCTCCAAAGACATCACACCCCAAAGACGTCACCTCCAAACCAAAGACGTCACCTCCAAAGACGTCACCTCCAAAGACGTCACACCCCAAAGACGTCACCTTCAAAGACGTCACACCCCAAAGGTGTGGGGCTGCTGCTTCATGCATAAAACAGTGACACTGGGAAGCGGAAAGAGCCTCTGTGCTCTCTGAGTTTCTCCTCCGTGTGTGGAGACTGACCAGCGGAGGCCACTTCACTCCAGAGCCTGGGCACACACGCACGCGCACGCACACACACCACTGGCTGGGCGCCGTCGCCCCTGGCCACACAGCTCCTGTGGTGTGACTCTGGTGAGAGCACTGGCTGTCACATGTGTACACTCACACACGCACAGGCACACACGCACACATGCGCACATGCACATATGTACGCTCACACACACACGCACACACGTACACACGCACACATGCACGCTCACACATGCATGCATGCACGCACACGCGCGCACACGTGCACACACGCACACATGTACGCCCACACATGCACACACACACACGCGTACACACCCCCCCACTGGCTGGGCCACCCTCACGGCGCATAGCCAGGCCCCATCTGTCCACTCCTGCCCGGCCAGTGGCCCGCCCAGCCAGCCCACTGACCTCCCGGCCGGCCCACTGACCTCCCGGCCAGCCCACTGACCTCCCAGTCAGCCCACTGACCTCCCGG